TAACACTATTCATAAAAGCCAAAGGCCGAAACAACCCGAATTTACATCCACAAAATGAAATACTATTTGACCCAGAAAAGGAATGAATACTGATACGTGCTGCTGCTACAGGGACGAACTTGGAAACATTACGTTAACTGAAAGAATCCAGTCAAAAAAGGCCGCGTATTGTGATTCCACACATATAAAATGTCTAGAACAGGGAAATCTATAGAGACAGAAAGCAGATTAGTGGCTGCTCAGGGCTGGGGAGTAGGATGGAGAGCAAGGAGGTGTTCGCTAAAGGCCAAGGGGTTTCTTTCTGAGGTGATAAAAATGTTCTGAAACTGACTATGATGACGATAGTGCATATATGCAAATATACTAAAAAGCACTGAATAATACACTTTAATGAGGTGATTCGTATGCTATGTGCGCCATACCTGAAATGAAGCCGTTTTCAAAAATCCCACTACAAAAAGGTGCTAAAATACAGTTATCATGTGAGCCAGCAATTCTGTTTCCACTTCCAAATACAGTCTCCCCTCGTATTCATGGGTTCCACATCCATGGATTCAGTCAACTGCAGATTAAAAATCATGTCTGTACTGAACATGTACAGACTCTTTTTTCTTGTCATTGTCTCCTAAACAATACAGAATAACAAGTATTTCCATGGCATTTGCATTGTATTAGGCATTGTACGTAATCTGCAGATGATTTAAAGTACATGGGAGGATGTGCACAGGCCGTATGCAAATACAGAACTGCGACATTCTGTAGCAGGAACTGGAGCATCCACAAATTCTGCTAACTGTGAGAAGTCCCATGGACACTGAGGGATGACTGTATAAATTCAAAATAACTGAAAAAACACGTTTACACAAAAACTTGCACACACATATTCAAATATTCATAGCACTATTATTCATAACAGATAATAAGTGGAAATAACCCAAGGGCCCATAAACTGAACTGGTAAACAAAACATGGTCTATCCATATAATGGAATGTTATTTGGCCATAACACAGGAATGAATGACTGATACAAGTTACTGATACATGGATGAACTTTGAAACATTATGCTAAGTGAAAGAAACAAGACCCAAAAGGCCATGTTACATTATTTCGTTTATGTGAAATATCCAGAAAGGGCCAAGCTCCAGGTAAAAGTAAAGCAGTAGTTTCTAGGCACTGAGGAGTGAAGTGGGGGAGTGGGGAGTGACTGCTGATGGGTGACGGAAATGTTCGTGGATGAGTCTGCAGTAACAGGCGCACGGAGTGTGAGTAACCTAAAACTGCTGAATCACACACCAGGGGTGGGGACCTGCAGCCCTGGGCCACGTGTGGCCTTCTGCATCCTTAAGTGCAGCCTTTTGACCGAATCCAAATTTTAGAAGTTTGGATTCAGTCAAAATGTCTATTATACACTTTAGCATGGTGAATTTTATAAAATGTGAATTATGGCTCAATTTTTAAAAGATGTTGATATTTACAAAACAGTCACTACCTTTTCAGGGGAAAAATCATTTTGGTACATTTATTCCTCATCTATATACTTTAACCCCAAATATCAACAAAGAATGAATCAAAAATGAAACATCCATTTTTCTGGAAAAAGTGTTGATTTTTAGAACACTGGAAAGATTGTAAGCAGAGTGTTAATAAAACCCTTTCCCCCCATTATGAGCATTTGATCTTCGTTAACTCGCAATTATATTACCCTAGGAACCTGATAAGGATAAGAATGTCACCTGTGTTACCAGGCAACAGTGCTTATGGTAAAAATAATGTCTGATTGGAAAACCGTATACCTGGGAGGAACTATAAATGCACTATAAATACATAAATAAACACTGTACTACAAAAGATGTCATACTTCAGGTTTCCCCAAGTGCAAGCACTCTCGTAATTAGGCATGTCCTTTGTGGGTCATGAAAGCTCTGTACGTATGTTGTTACGAAAGACACTGGATATCATCTCCTTGCACCTGAGCTGTCCCCGGACTGCTATGTCAGCCGCCCCGTGTACTTCTGTGAGAACAGTTTCCACGGAAGAGGAATACCTGATGCCGCCCTGTTCACAAGCTGTATTCCTGTCGTGTAGTTGAACCTAAGAAAAACGCTGATGGGGTTAGAGCTAAAATTACAAAACTCTTACAAGAAAACAAAGAAGAAAGACTTCATGACTTTGGATTTGGCAATGATTTCTTGGATATGATACCAAAACACAAGCAACAAAATAAAAAGTACATCAACTGGACAATCAAAATGAAAAACATTTGTCCATCAAAGAACACTATCAGCCAGGCATGGTGGCTAGCATCTATAATCCCAGCTGCACAGGAGGCTGAGCCAGGAGGATGGCTTGAGCCCAGGAGTTGGAGGCCGCAGTGAGCTATGATCACACCACTCCACTCCAGCCTGAGTGACAGAACAAGACTCTGTATCTAAAAAAAGAAAGAAAAGAAAAGAACAAGTGTTGGTGGGGTTGTAGAGAAACTGGAACCTTTCTCCATTTTGCTAGTGGGAATGTAAAATTGTACAACTACTAAGGAAAACAATGTGGTGGTTCCTCAAAAAGTTCAAAACAGAATTACCATATGATCCAGCAATTCCACTTTTAGATATATACCCAGAAGAATTAAAACCAGGGACTAGAAAAGACATTTGTACACCCACGTCCACAGCGGTGTTATTCACAGTGGCCAAAAGGTGAAAGCAATGCGAGTATCCACTGACGGATGATGGATGAACAAAACGTGGCATACACACAATTCAGCCTTGAAAAGAAAGAAAATTCTGACACATGCTGTAGCACAGATGAACCTGAAGACGCCATGCTAAGTGACATAAACTAGGAACAACTACTGTGTGACTCCACTTGTGTGAGGAACCTACAGTAATAGAATTCACAGAGACAGAGAGGAGAATGTTGGTTGCTGGGGGTGGGGGAGAATAGGGAGTTGCAGTTTAATGCATGTGCAGTTTCAGTTCTGCAAGATGAAGAAAGTTCTAAAGATGGGTGGTGCTGTAGGTTGCACAACAACGTGAACACACTTGAACTGCGTACTTAAAAATGTTTAAAATTCTAAATTTTACTTTACATATATTTCACCACAATTTAATGAAAGAGAAAAAAGAAAGAGCCCTGGCTGGTGCTGCAGTATTCTAATCTTTACATGTGCAGGAGTATGTGGAGTACTCTCAATGAAAGCATGCTCATGCCACAGAAAGTACAGATCTTATTCTCCATAGGAAATATCCTCCCAGTATGACAGAAATAGAAGAAAGGGTAGCGGAGAAGCCAGAAGAAAGATAAC